AGCAACTCAACGCATTTAGGTGTGCAGACATGGTGCAAACAACTTGCTGAAGTTCAAACCGGCCGTGAGGGTGGAGAAGAAAGGACATTAAAGTGACTCTGAATGTGGCATGGTTGTTGGTGCCAGATGAGCTGCTGATTTAATGGAGTTTTCTCACACACAGCCACCTCCAGGGTTTACAGAGAACAGTCGAAAACAGAAAAAAATCATCAGTGAGTGGCAGCTCTCGGGGAGAAAAGGTCGTGTTGATACAAGAGGTCAGAGGAGAATGGCTAGACTGCCTCGAGCTGAAGGGAACCACTTGCTGCAACCAAGGTATGCAGAAGAGCATCTCTGAGTGAACATCACGTGGAGCTACAGCAGCAGAAGAACAGGAAACTCAGGCCACAGTTTTTTGCAGGAAGACTGTAAAAATGTTGTCTATCTGATTAGTCTTGATTTTATTTCGATTTCCTTTGAATGGTAGTTTAAGAATTTGGTGTAAACACCATGAAAGCATGGATGGTGGTGTAATGATGAAGGAGAGCTTTTCTTGGCACACTTTGGGCCCTTTCATACCAACCGAGCATGTTTTAAACACCAAAAGCTGCCATTATATATACAACATGTCCATTCCTTTATGGCCACAGTGTACCCACCTTCTGATGGCTGCTTCCAGCAGGATAACACTCCATGTCACAAAGCTTACATCATCTCAAACTGGTTTCCATAACATGACAATGAATTCACAAAGGCCTCCACAGTCACCAGATCTCAATCCAGTAGAACACCTTTGAGATGAGGTGGAAAAGGAGATTCAAATCAACAACAAATCTGCAGCAATTGTGTGATGCTATCATGTCAATATGGGCCCAAATCTCAGAAATGTTTCCAGTACTTTAGTGAATCTGTGCCAGAAAAGATTATTTGTTACATGTGCGGTTAACTTTGCTTCAGGATAATATTTGTGAACAGTCACACACTGCAGTTCTGCTCATTAATCCTCAGCTTATCAAGCTGAATTTATCAAATATACGTGAAAAAAATTTCCCCTAATTCTTTACTAGGGAGCATTACAGATGGTGTGCAGGTATGGCATGTTGAAATACAGTTTCTGATGCCTAAACATACTGTGGTTCTTCTCTCAGGCAGGACATTAAAGACCCTGCTGAACGTCTTTACTTGTAGAAGGATGCTGACAAGAAAACCTCCAAGAAAAAGGGGGATGCCGTTCAGCAACAGCATCAATTCTGACCACTGACCCTCCTGTGCACACAGTGCCGTGATCTATTTATAGGTTGCATGTCTGTATCTCCTGTTGAATATTTGAACCGTGTAGAGCAGCTGAGTACAAAAGCACAGATTGATCCTCTCTTGTGAGCCAGACAGTAGCATGGCTCCCCTCCCTGGCTAACCCTGGAATTGACAAGCCATCAAGTGATTATGAAATTGAGCTTTTTCAGAGAACTCAGTGATGTCTGACATTATGTGTCATACAATAACAACGTAATTAGACGCTGGAGGATAAGAAGCAACTGATGCAACACTTAATTAATCAGTAATACGGAAGATAAACATTTGAGCAAATATACTGTTTACATTTGCTCAAACATTTAATGAAGCGCTGCCTTCAGACCTGAAACATGCTACTACATCAATATAAAAATTATGGTGCATTGTGGTAAAAAATAAATAAAAATAATAATAATGTTTTTAAAAAAACCCATAATTACAACAGTTGTTCACATTTCCACAAGAGGGCCACAGAGGACCTACAGACCCCACTCCAGTCCCACTGTGGATTTGTTGATGGTGGTGGAAAGCGATGGTTTTGCCACTGGACCAGTGATTGTTCAGGTCTACGGGTTTAGTACAGCTCACATATTCAGCCATCACTAAGAATCAGTCATGAAGGAGAGAGCACTGATTTTCACGCCACTGTAGCTTCCACTCAGGGAATTTCCACAGCAGCAGGACTATGCTACACTCACCATTTTAGATTCCCAGGGACACTGACAATGCTCGCTAGTAGCATCACATTGTGAGCATAAATATATTGTGTTTTATTAACTTTTAATATTTAGCCCATTAACTTAACTCCTTTTCTATGTTTGTTTGTTGATTTGTTGCAATCTGGCAGGGATAGCTCAGTAGGTAAAGTGGTCGCCCCATGATCGGAAGGTCGGCGGTTCGAATCCACCTAACGGCTACCCTGAGGTACCCCTGAGCAAGGTACCGTCCCTACACACTGCTCCCCGGGCGCCTGCTTAGTGGGCTGCCCACTGCTTCACTGAGTGAATGGGTCAAATGCAGAGAAAAACAAGTAATTTCCCCATGGGGATCAATAAAGTATCCATTATTATTATTATTATCTAAACAGATTGTTTTTGAAATGATATAGTGGTGTTTAAAGATTTGCTTATTTTAGTTCTGAATAGAAAGCTAAACCTAAAACACTGTGATTTTAACAGTCCCAACAACAGCTAAAGAGGGACCCTTTAAACAAATGACATAAAAATATTAGATTTCTTCATGTTTTTATTAAATATAAAGATCCAATATTACAGCTGTGAATTTCAAAAGCAGTTATGCAGAAATATAAGAGAGCCATGGGCTGTAAAGCAACATTACATAAGATGCTAGAGGTTCTTCAGATTTTAATATTTGATCTTCATTGATAAGAGAACAACATGATTGTCTTACAAATAGACAAATGTTATGATAAAGTTTCTTCAACTTTTGTAACATTATGGGCCAAAAGTTGAATAAGTACTTAGTTACTAATGAAAACTTGCAATACAACTTGTATCTTATAATACAAAGTTACAGTTAATCACGCATGCCCTCACTCAGTAAGGTTTTTGGTACCAGGACAAAAACAGGTCTTAAAATGAGTTAAACAAAACCTCAGATGAACAAAAACACAGAACACCGAGAAGCCCAAGAGTTATATCTCAGGCTCTGGAGGCCTCAGTAAATGTTAAAGTTCATAACAGGGCTATTTGAAAAGACTGACCAAGTTTGGCTTTTTTCCTCTGCTACCAAAGTATTTTGGAGTCAAATGTGAGGCCGTCTGTCCAACAGCCAAAACTTGGACCAAACCAGATCATTCATCAGGACGATGATCATAAGAACAACAACAAATCTATAAGAGGCTGAATGAAACAGGAAAGGATCAAGTTGTTGCAATGGCCCAGTCAAAGTTCAGACCTCAGCACGGCTTTAATGCTGTGAGGAGACCTTAAGACAGCTGTGCATAAATATACTTGCAAACACAGAAAACAATTATTGCTTCTGAAGGTGCTTCAGGTGTACTTGGTTTTTCACACACTGCTTCTGTGCACATACAAATTCTTCATCTAAAGCTGTATTAAAATAATTTAAAACCTGGCATTCACATGAGAACAGTTTTTTTATTACAGGATATAAGTTGTATTACAAGTTTTTAAAACATAGAGAAATAAGACTTAAACCCTCTGTCTGTACTTTCAGCTTTAAAAAGTGCTTTACAAGTTGAAAACTACTACAAAGTACATACACAGATAAAAGGTAGGTAGATATATTAAAAAAATAAGTACATTACTTATTTAGTACATAGTCAAACATGGTTCTTAAATCTCAATCTGTGCAATAAAAGAGCATATTTATATCAATTTGATAGGTTTGTATATTTCACTTCACTGCATTAGTAAGATAACTTTGCACAAAAAGTTAAGCTTTGCTTCACATTGAAGCTTTCCCTGCTATTAGAATATCTATCACTTATAATCATATATTTTATGTCTCAAAAGGGCTTTTGTCCATTTGTCAAAAAATATATTTTGCAAATGTGCTTAAACAAGATTTTCAATGTGAAACTTGTAACTCCATCCATCCATCCATCTTCATCCGCTTATCCGAGGTCGGGTCGCGGGGGTAGCAGCCTAAGCAAAGAGGTCCAGACCTCCCTCTCCCCAGCCACCTCCTCCAGCTTGTCCGGGGAATACCAAGGCGTTCCCAGGCCAGCCGAGAGATATAATCTCTCCAGCGTGTCCTGGGTCTGCCCCGGGGCCTCCTCCCGGTGGGACATGCCTGGAACACCTCGCCCAGGAGGCGCCCAGGGGGCATCCTTGCCAGATGCCCGAACCACCTCAGCTGGCTCCTTTCGATGTGGAGCAGCAGCTGCTCTACTCTAAGCCCCTCCCGGATGGCCGAACTTCTCACCCTATCTCTAAGGGAGAGGCCAGCCACCCTTCGGAGGAAGCTCATTTCCGCCGCTTGTATCCGCGATCTCGTTCTTTCGGTCACTACCCACAGCTCGTGGCCATAGGTGAGGGTAGGGACGTAGATCGACCGGTAAATTGAGAGCTTCGCTTTTACACTCAGCTCCCTCTTCACCACGACGGACCGGTGCAGCGTCCGCATTACTGCAGCCGCAGCCCCAATCCGTCTGTCGATCTCCAGCTCCCTTCTCCCATCACTCGCGAACAAGACCCCGAGATACTTGAACTCCTCCACTTGGGGCAGGAACTCATCCCCGACCCGGAGTGGGCACTCCACCCTTTTCCGGCTGAGAACCATGGCCTCAGATTTGTAACAGATTTGTACAAACTTGTAACTATTTTTTTTATTTATTTATTCATTTATAAAGCACATTTAATAACAACAGGGCGTTGACCAAAGTGCAAATTAAACAGTGGCATTAATAACAACAACAGATAACTAACTGCTTCTTATTTTGTTTTCTCATCATTTAAGGTTACAATAAAATAAATAATAAACAAATTAAGGAAGCTAACCGACAGAAGTAGTTGGTGCTCTTAATGGAAAAACTGACAGATGTATATAAATCATTAGTTTGGGACGGACGTGTGCGTGTGTCAGTGGGAATCTGTAAGTGGAAACCAGCCCTGCTGGCAGACTCGTCACGTGATTCGCCATGGCAACCAGGGACTGTCATCAGTTCCGCTGTGGGAGAAGTGCAGCTTCAGTCCGACTCCGCTCAAAATTTACCTTCCTCACTTTATAACAACTCCCGTCTGTTCTGACATCACGTAAACCTGAACGTCTCCCAACGAGCACCGAGTGCCCTGCCTCCATATCTCAGACGCTGGGGGGGATTTTAAAGAGAGGGCAGACTGAAAGCCATGAGTCACCTCAACTCAGGGTAAGAGCAATTTATGTGTTTTATTCAAAGAGGAGGGAGCCGCTTGGTTAAAGCTGCGTGAGTTTTGATTCCCCCCCTCGGAGGCTTTACGCCAGTTAACCTCGGCACATTTCTTTTCATGTTTTTCAACTGCTTGAAAAGCTGGAAATTGACTTCATGCTAATATTAAAGATCTAGCTGCATAATAGCAAGAAAGCCCATTTAACTCTTAAACTATGCCTGCCCTGCTTATAGAAACAGTTTAAAAGTGGTTGTGAGTCACCCACAGTGTCTGTCAATATAGTCACCAATGAGGCAAATGTTATTGTGTGTGCTAACGGGTCCACTCAAACCCATAAATGAGTCAAAGAAAACTTCATAGGCAGCTTTGCTACACACTTTATTATGAACAAGAAGTGTCACTAGAACCAGAAAGAAGCTGAAACTGAAGTTTCACCATGAATTCAGATTTGAGGTTTTCCATCTAATGCTACTTTTAATGCACCACATTTCAGAGGAAAACACTCTCAGTGGTTTTAATGCAATGCACAGCGATGGGTGACAGACTGTAAGTTAAGGAAATACAAGTTTAAATAGTGTGTGCATAAATAAGTGTTAAAACAAGGATACGAGATGTGCACACACACAGGTGAGATTCTCTGTGCTGCTGCGTTTTCCCCCATACTGGTATATAAGAGAATGCACACAGCATGATTTTTGTCTACAGGATACCTTCATACTGTAACATAAACTATTTTTTTAAAGTGCTTGACTCCTTATTCCTTATTTGCAAAGACTAATAAGAGCTCATCAAGTTCTGTCATGACAAGTAGGATGCCTCTTAACTGCTTTGCAGCCATGTGCCTCCACTTCACCTGCTCATAAAAAACTCACGTCTAGAATGACAGTTTTAAATGCAGTGCTGTGATCCAGGGCACCAGAAACAAACAAGCCCAGTGCACAAAGAGGAGGCAGCCCGGGCTAAGTGTGCCGTTCCCTCTCATTCCTGTAGGTAATCAGACACCTGTAACAGACTCTATAATTGTAAGATCCTGTTGTGTCGTACACAAATGCCGGTGGAAATCAGATCTGTATTGGAAAAAAAATACTGCTTTCACACAGGCCGCTCTGGGGACGAGCTGATGTCTCGTTAATGAGGACAAGAGAACAACTGCCAACAAACAAACACGGCGCTGTGCCCCAGTAAAGCATTTGATCAGGGTTCCGGTTTTCCGATAGCTTTAATCAACACACGGCTTACACGCTCCCCTCACCTGAACTGTGGCTGTTTAGTGCTGACTGGGATTAAATACTTGTGTTTTTGTCTCTGCAGACTTCTTTCGACCTACAACAGCCTCACAGACAAACATCTTGCTGGATACTTTAGCAGCACTCGAATCAGGAGACACCTGCAGAGAGCAGGACTGGTGCGTTTAGGTTTTTAAAGCAAAATTATGAAATTCAGTTAAAAATATCGATCGACGGGTTGAATTTTGTTGATATTATTGTTGTTATTAGATCACCAGGAGTGGGCGCATTGTCCCGGACAAGGAGTACAGACACAAGCTGATCCAGAGAGCGCACCAGAGACACGTTCGAGAATGTCTGGCACAGGCTATTTTCCACAAGGTGCTAGAGATGGAGGTGGGAAGAACACGATGTAAATGAGACAAAGTCAAAGGAAAAAACACTGTCATGTAATCTGTGTAATTTTCCTTATGCAATAAATCCTGATAATTTGTCCTTTTTCCACCCACACAGCGTCTCCACCAAATCGAGATCAAAAGAAAACTGGAGGAGTTTGCAAGGAGGGAAAGAGTGCATAAGATCAAGGTACGTCTTTAACATATAAACACTGCTTTGCTGCCCTATTTTGTAGGATTCCTAATTTATACTGGAAAACTTCTCATATATCACTACATACTATATAATGATGAATGGTGTTGTTTGGCAGGTGGAGCGCTCTAAAAGGTATGAGGAAGGCATTGTCCACATCCTGTCTCCACACCCTCCCGAGGGTGCCAGGGGCATCCAGAAACAGCACTCTGGGCCCGAGGGGGAGCACTCTGACTCCTCTGAGTCGGTGGGTATTAAATCTACTGCTTCAGTGTTTATTGTTTAAAGTGTGACTGTTTAATTAATCATACAAAGTAGATTAGTGTCTTTAAACATGATACAATGATAAAAAATTACACTGATGGTTTTACGAGAATTATGTATGAGTTCGAAGCAGCAACCTTTTGTTGAAGAAGCAATTTTAAGCTCGTCAGTGTAAGTGGGAGAGACGATTATTTATGTATTTATTTGTGGAAATAGATGAAACTGTAGTGTACACTGAAACTGGGAACAGAACTGCTCTGATAAATAATACATTCATTTAGTGCAATAAATATATAAGAAATCAGCGTTCTTTTGTATACGCAAGTACTGACTTTATAACAGATGTTAGATAGATATAGATACGGACATATAGATAAGATAAGAAAGCACACCCTTTCTATTCTATTAAGGTTTTATGCACATAAAACAGAATAAAAAGTCACTAGGTTGTAAAAAATCATTTGAAAAACAACCTCAGATGAAAAGCAGCACATTGTCCTGATATATTTAACAAAAATGAAGCCATAAAACAGAATCTGTGTACCAACTACACTGTTCCTCCTTCCATGGGAGGCTAAGTAGCAGACAGGTGCTGCCTATCAAATGCAATTAACTCATCATCAGCAAGTGTGAGCATCTGTAAAAAAGCAGAAGTTTTGGCAGTTTGCTGGTGTGAAGCCTTCAGGTGCGTGTTAACACAAAGCCAAGGGAGGAGGACATCAGCAATGAGTATAAGTCGAGTTTCAAATAATTTGAAGTCCATCATTCTACAGTGAGAAAGATCATTCACATGTGGAAAACATCCTTTGGACAGATGACACCAAAGTGAAGATGTTTGGCCATAACGCTCAGCACCAAACAAAGAACATCACCACAGATACCTCGTGTTAACAGTCAAGCACATTGGTGGAGTTGGGTTTGGGCTTGTTCTGCAGCCACAGGCACCTCCAGTCGTTGATCCCTTTATACCAGTACAAATATTCTAGAGTTACAAATGTGAGTCCACCTGTCCAACAACAGAAGCTTGAACCAAACTGTGCCCTGAAACGGGAAACTGAGTCCAAGAACAGCAGCAAACCTACAAGAGCGTGACTGAACAAGAAAATCAAGGTGGTGCAACAGCCCAAAGTCCAGACTGCAACCCGACTGAAATACTATAGAGGGACCTGAAGAGAGCTGCATTTAAACAAATGCCTGCAAAACTCAGTGAACTGAAGCAACACTGTACAGAAGAGCAGGCCGAAATTACTCCCCAGCGATGTGAGAGATGAAAACAGTAAACTTCAAGTTATTGCTGCTAAAGGTCGTTGAATCATGGCGTGTTTCACACACTGCTTCTGCATTTTGGTGTATTTTGTAGGAAATAAAGAAACATACAGTGTAGTATGTCCCGTTGTTCATCTCAGGTCACCTCCTTTTAAGGCTTGGATTATATTTTTATTATGTCCTTAGATTCTAGCCTAACTCTTAAGAAGCAAACATCTTGCATTTTCCAAAATGTATAACTGATTATTTCATTGAAGAACTTGCATTTAGTCAATTAGTTAGTCAACTGTTTTGTTTTGTTTCTTAATTGTCATCTTATAGACGGGCAGAAAAAATTAGCATTCTTTGTAACACAAATAATGTTACCTGAGCAAACATGGAAAATCTGACCTGCAGGTAAGGAGATGATGTCCAGGTGAGAAACTGCTATAGTGTATGTTATAACCTGTGCATCCTGATAGTTCCCATTTTAGTATGAAGACTTCCAGCTTCAGCTGTTTGTTTTGTGCGCAGACGAGTGTTCAGAGTGAAGTGCTGGGATTAGCTGTGTTTAGCTGTGTGTTATCTTTGAAACATAAAAAGTCACACACCTTGATGCCAGAATAAATAGAGCCAGTAGAATAGAATAGAATAGAATAGAATAGAATTGAACTTTGTCATTGCACATGCACAGGGCAACGAAATGCAGTTTGCATCCATCCAGAAGTGCTTTAGTGATATAGATATATTACAATATATATTAGCAATAATATAGATATGTGAGTATATTACAGAAATGGGTCTATTATGGTATGTTATAATGTACACGGTATGAAGTATGTTGTGAATATTCTATAACTATAAGTATGTACAGGCTGTAGTGAGTACAAGCTATGTACAGGATATGAACAGGATATAAATATGAAAAACTATACAGAATATGAAATAAATAACTTTACAGAATCTGGGATATACAGCTATACAGAAATGGGAACTATGCAAGTTGTAAACAGTTGTAGGATTAAAGATTATCGAATGTACAGAATGATTATTTACACAGAGCTATACAGTAGTGCAGTTAAGATAAGTGAGGGTGTAGATAGTTTCTACAGAGGCTATATAAAGTGCTAGTGGTTGTGAGTGGTGGTTCAGTCCATGTTATTATTGTGTGTTTGAGGGTACAGTTGTCCATTGTGGGTGTGTGTATGTTCAGTCCATGAGTTAACGTGGGTCAGATGTCAGGAGGCAGAGTTCAGGAGTCTGACAGCTGTGGGGAAGAAGCTGTTCCGGTACCTGGTGGTCTTAGTCCGGAGGCTCCTGTGGCGCCTCCCAGAGGGCAGGAGGGTGAAGAGTCCATGTGATGGGTGACTGGGGTCTCTGATGATTTTCCCAGCCCTTTTCAGACACCGCTTCCTGTAGATGTCTTTTATGGCAGGAAGTGGTGCTCCGGCGATGCGCTGGGCAGTTTTCACGACCCTCTGCAACGCCTTCCGGTCCGAGGCAGAGCAGTTCCCGTACCAGACTGTTATACAGTTGGTCAGGATGCTCTCGATGGTGCAGCGATAGAAGTTCACCAGGATGTCTGAGGACAGGTGGTTCTTCCTCAGTCCTCAAGAAGAAGAGGCGCTGGTGAGCCTTCTTGACCAGCTTGGAGCAGTTGGTCGTCCAGGTGAGATCCTCGGAGATGTGGACTCCCAGGAACTTGAAGCTGCTCACACGCTCCACAGCCGTCCCCTTAATGTGGATGGGTGGATGTGGGTCAGCATTCCTCCTGTAGTCCACGATGAGCTCCTTGGTCTTCTCGGTGTTAAGCAGCAGGTTGTTTCTGTCGCACCACTCAGCCAGACGATCCACCTCCTCCCTGTAGGCGGCCTCATCGTTGTCACTGATGAGGCCAATCACCGTGGTGTCATCTGCAAACTTAATGATGGTGTTGGAACCATCAGCAGGTCTGCAGTCGTGGGTGAAAAGGGAGTAGAGGAAAGGGCTCATCACACAGCCTTGTGGTACACCGGTGTTCATTGTGATGGTAGATGAGCAGCGGTTATCCAGCCGGACATGTTGGGGGCGGTTGGTCAGGAAGTCCAGTAACCATTTGCAGATGAGGGAACTGATACCCAGGTCTGTCAGTTTCCTGATGAGTTGTGAGGGGTGGATTGTATTGAATGCTGAACTGAAGTCTATAAACAGCATTCTGGCGTAGGTGTTGTTGTTGTCCAGGTGTGAGAGGACAGAGTGCATTGCGATGGAGACTGCATCCTCTGTGCTCCTGTTCCGGCGGTATGCGAATTGGTGGGGGTCCAGGGTGGGGGGGAGACAGGATTTGAAGTGTGCTAGGACCAGTCGCTCTAAGCACTTAGTGATGATGGGGGTGAGTGCTACTGGGCGGTAATCATTGAGGCAAGATGGGTTGGAGTTTTTGGGTATCGGGACGATGGAGGTGGATTTGAAGCAGGCCGGTACCACAGCGTGGGCCAAGGACAGATTGAATATGTCTGTGAGCACTCCTGCAAGCTCCCCAGAACACGCTCTGAGAACACGCCCGGGGATGCCATCAGGGCCTGCAGCCTTGTGGACATTGATCCTGCTCAGCACCGCTCCTACATCGGTGGGGGAGAGAGTCATAGGTTGGTGGTCTGGCGTCATGTCTGCTTTGGTTGTGGTTGTGGGGTTCCCTCGCTCAAAACGAGCATAAAAGTTGTTGAGCTCGTTGAGGAAGGAGACATCAGAGGATGCGGGGGAGGGTTTGGTGCTCCTGTAGTCTGTGATGGTCTGGAGTCCTTGCCACATGCGTCGGGGGTTGGAGAAGTGTTCTTCTACCTTCTTTTTGTAATGGTGTTTGGCTTTTTTGATGCCCTTCTTTAGATTAGCCCTGGCTGTACTGTAGGCGTGTGCATCTCCTGACCTAAAGGCAGTGTTGCGGGCCTTCAGGAGGAGACGAACATCCCGGTTCATCCAAGGCTTCTGGTTGGGGTACATGGTGATCCGTTTCTGGGTGGTGACACTGTCTGTGGTTTTGGAGATGCAATCCAGTACAGATGAGGCGTACTGGTCCAGGTCTGTGTGGGTGAACATATTCCAGTCTGTGTTTTTAAATCTGTCCTGGAGCACTGCGTCTGTCCCCTCTGGCCACACTTTAATTGTCCTCACAGCAGGTTTCACACGTTGGATGAGTGGTGAATACCGAGGTGTGAGGAACAGGGAGAGATGGTCCGATTGTCCAATGTGGGGGAGGGGTGTGGCTTTGTAGGCTCCAGCCAGGTTGGAATACACATGGTCTAAAGTCTTGTCTCCTCTGGTGTGGCAGGAGACATGTTGGTGGAATCTGGGGAGGACTGTCTTTAAGTTGGTGTGGTTGAAGTCGCCAGCAACAATAAAAGCAGCCTCGGGGTGTTTATTCTGGTGTTTGTTAATGGCTGCAGAAAGTTCTTTCATGGCCAACCTAGCATTAGCGTCGGGGGGGATATACACCGCAGTGAGTATGATCGAAGTGAGTTCTCTGGGGAGATAATAAGGTCTGCATTTGACCATTAAAAACTCCGCATTAGGTGAGCAGTGACTCTCAGTAGTAGTGGAGTTCATGCACCAAGCATTGTTAATATAAATGCACAAACCTCCACCTCTGGTCTTGCCGGAGTCATCTGCTAGCCTGTCGGCTCGGTGTGTGTGGCGTCCTGCTAACTCGATAGCATTGTCCGGGCAGCTGTTGTTCAGCCATGTTTCGGTGAAAAACATGACATTTGAGTCCATAATCCGTCTGTTGTTAGTGATGGAGAGCCGTATCTCATCCATTTTGTTTGCCAGAGAACGGACATTGGCGAGAAAAATACTGGGTAAAGGCAGCCGGTGTGGTGTTAGCTTTAGCTTAGCCCGTAGCCCTCCGCGCCTACCTCGCCTTTGTTTACGATCTCGGCGCCGTCTGCGTGCACTTCCGCCCAGCCGGGGAGAGTGGGCAGCCTCCGGTGTTCTGGAGATCTCTGGGATGAGTCGGAGATCGGCGATAAAACTGTTGGAGTTGTGAGTCCAGATGTCCAGAAGCTCTTGTCTGCTGTAGGTCAGCAACGCACAGCAATTCTGGACGAATAATCCGGTTAAAAGTAGATAAAGAGAGACACTGAGCCTCGCGTTGTTCACGCGCCGCCATCTTGGAAAGTAATCCTGTCTTTGACCCCACCTTAACTCAACAGAAATCACATACTAAAGCACGCTGAGCCTTGCCTGATATACATCGATGGGGATTTGTTGCTAATAGCTAATATGCATTTTGAATACGTTTATTGTCATCATGATTTCTTGTGAATTTATTAAGAAGTTTGCAGTTTTTAAAAGTAGTGGGAGACGTTAAAGATCGCTAACAATAAAAAAAAATTTAAAAACTATTTAAACAATGTGATTATACTACCAAGAATAAAATATAATTAAAAGATAAAGATTAGATTAGAAAAGAACTGCTTTTTACATTCAGCAACGAATGACAAGCCCGAGGAAAGAAAAGTTTGAATAGCAAATACGCTTCATTTCACAAAACACCAACATAATGAGCAGGTCGCTTTGTGTTAAAGGAAACACAGTATGGCATCACTGTAAAAGCGCACCATAGTGACGGTTCAGGAGCAGTGCAGATTAGCAGAACTGCATAATTAGCAGAATGCAAACTGAATGTCTGTAACGCGATTTTTAGCCGAGCTCATCTCGACCCAACACGGCCCCGGGGAAGATGCAGAGGCCCGTGCGCTTGAAACCGATCCACAGTAACAGCACCACGGCTTCGGTCAGACACAGCTCCCCTTACAGACTGCTCCAATCCTCTCATGACAACCACCTGCCATTCAACTGCACTGTGAGTGTGAGACTCAAGATACTCACCTGTATATGAGTCACAGCGTTTTCTCTGTAGACAAATTAGATTTTCAAGCGATATGAAGTTGCAATTTCTTTTTTTTCAAACTGTATTTTTGGAAACTATCTATTAGAAGTGTAGAGATATAGATGTAGGCCTCAGCATGAAAAATAATTGATAGAATCACACCTATAGTTCACTGCATGGAGAGAAGCCACAATCACAGAGCATCAGTATCAGCAGAACCAGAGTAAAGACTTCATTAACCTTCCTACCAGATGGACAAAGAGCCTCGGAGACGTTTGACTGCAGTGGAGGCCTCCCATGGCATCTCGCCCTATTGCCTCCCAGTTATCAACAACTTTGTCACTCCGGTGCCTCCAGCTACGAAGAGGAAAGAGAGAGGGTTAAAGGGCACTGCCAGCAGTACTGTCAGAGGCCGCAGACTGCGCCCGACCACCGCCTCCAGTGGAGCTGACGTGAGTTAGGTCTTTATCTGTCCTTGTTATTTCCCTGGCAACAAAAGTATCCACAACAAACATTAAACTGCACTTCCTTTGGATAAATCGGGAACAACAAATAGCATTTCCTGTGCATGGCACGCATTTTCTGAGACAGTTCATGACAAAGTTGACAAATGAATAGTATTAATGCGTCCTTGATTATATTTATGATATAGAAACAAATCTCATCCACCTCTGTGCATCGCTAACATCAGAGTTTGGATCAGGAAGTTCAAATATAAATGTAAAATATCTTTAATCAGTAAATAACACACCAAAAACGTGTCACTTTTTCCACCCAGGACGCCCCACTGCTGAGGAGCTCTGTTCACCAAAGCAGAGTGTGTGTCAACATGGTGTACTTTGGCAAAACGGTGCGTCTTTCCAGCGACCTGACCGACATGAGGGACGACGTCAAAGTGTTTCAGCAGCACTGTGGAGGAGAGAACCTGTGTGTGTACAAGGGAAAGCTTCATGAAGGGGGTCAGTGTGTGAAACCGGGTTGTGTTTTTTGGATTTGTATATGTAAATATATACTGACAGATACCCCAAACCATTCAGAATGGCTTTTTGTGCCTCATCATTTCTGCTTCAGAAACTTTCCAGTTTATTTCACGTCGACACAGAGGCTTCCCGTTCAGCTTGACCTTCTTCCTGAATGGGCTGCAGGTGGAGCGGCTGAGCTCCTGCTGCGAGTTCAAACACAGGAAAGGCTCACGACTCGGCGGCAAACACGGGCACTTTGGCTTCACCGGCGTCGAGGGGGCCTCTCCATGCTACAAGTGAGATCTCTACAGAAGCTTTAACCTCCTAGGACCTGGCGTCCACATACGTGGACATCACATTTTGGGTTATTTAGACCAAAATACTCAATTTTGCTCTTCAAAGGCCTGATATCCACTTACGAGGACATTGTACTGCTACTGTTCTATTTAAATTTTAAACGAATATCCTCATGTGGCTCTCATTTTTCTCAGAAACAAAAAATAGGTAAAAAAAAAATCTGGTAATTCTTTGTTTTTACATTCATCAGGTCAAAAGGTTGAATATAAAACAAAGTGAACAACAAAAAGGAGACATGTGAAAGGAAAAGTTTAACATTTTTACTCATGAATAAATGATAAGCTTCTGTCAGCCACTTTAGTTTAGCATATAAACTGCGTGTAGAGAAAGCAGAGAGCCTGGTTTTGTTCAAAACATTACAGTCTTCTGGAAACCAAACCATGTAGTGTGTATTTAGTCTAACAGGACCGTGTTTGAGCTTTAAACGGGCTGGCAGCAAAATTAATTGGCATTTTTCGACCATATAAACTGTTTTCCCCATTTTCAAATGTTATTGCACATTAAACTAATGGTCTGCTAGTTGTAGCTCTATATTTAAGCAGTCCACACTGGCTAGAGTGTCCCATAGATGACCTTTTTTGGAGGCCAACTTAGAAGTTAGCCCGCCTTGGTTATCCTGGAAAAAAAGCCGGTGGGATTTTGGATAAATCCACAAAATAAGCTCTGTGGAAAGAAACTTTGTGATACACAGTTTGTTCAACAAGATTATCCCTGCATACTGATGATTTTAAAGTGAAATTAGAATATAAATGAACTACAACATAGGCAGATTACTGTGTTCAGTGTGGTGGTTTGAATGCACCCCACTCGTCCTCTGGGTGGTTTATTGATTTATTTATTTAAACAGGAACAAAATTACTTTTTAAACAGACTTCTTGCTCATTGTTCAGATGCATCATAGCAATGGGACTGGACAAAAAGCCCACTCCTCCACCAAAGAGGATCAAGGAGGATACAAGAAGAGAGGAATCAGTCAACAGCCCAAAAGATGAAGGTGAGATGGAGACGGAGAGGACTGGGGAGGATGCTGGCTCCCACTTGGAGGGTGAAACCAGTGAGCCGCAGAACATGGAGACTCCGGTCAAAGAAGAAAGAGCGCTCGATGAGGAAAAAGGCAGAGGTGGTACAAAAACTGGTGCATCTGAGCACAAACTAAAGATTTGTGTGCCGCGCATACCGAAGTCTGTATCTATAATTCTCTGCTTCAGATTATGAAGAAGACTTTGAAGCAGATGATGAGGGAGCTGCAGAGGAGGCAAAAGAAGAGAAATCCCCATCTCCAACCAGTGCAACAGACAGGCAGGTTAAAGAGAGGGATGTCTCTGAGACTGACAATGATGACAGGGATGGTGGGTGAATCACCTTAGTTGTACACATAAAGCTTAAATCCCTGTACAATGTTTAACTATTTAAAATCTTTTTTTTTTAAGACACAAAGTATTTTAATTACAGAACAAAACCATCTTTTGAAATGTTTAAATGTGCATTTTCCTTCTTGTAGAGTACTTATTGGTGTTCATGTGTAACTTTCTCGCAGACATGAGATCTCATTCAGGCTCCAGCTCCTCGGGCAGCGAGCACGACGAGAGTGATGCTGAAGCCACAAGAGACATCAACGAGGACAATAAGGCAAAGCAACAGAAAGAGGACAGTCAGGAGGAAACCATCGCTCAGCCCGAGGAAAAAGATGAACCAAATCCAGAAGAAGATGTTGCCACGGAAGCTGAGTCTTCTGCGGCCAAAGACTCGCACATGGACAGTGCTGGGGACAGCACGGAGATAGAAATATCTGACACCAGCGTCCCCTCAGGAAGTGAGACTAGACAGATTGATGACAAAGATGCTGAGAAGCCTGTAGAGGAGGGCAACCAGGAGGAGGAACACGAGAGAGGTGAGTAAAAAACAAAGAATATACAAAAACACAACATTCAAGACCACCTAGTTAGTCACATGTTTTAAATACGGCGCTGTAATACAATCAGAGCAGAATAGCTTAATGTCATACTGCTACAATATCATCAACGTGTAATGATTAAAATAAAAATTTTAATAGTGGAAAAATACATGTGTGCCATCGCAATGATTCGTTTTCTATCTGATCCACATTTTATTTTTTTACTTTTTTCCACATTTTTTATATACTTTTGTCTTGGTTTGGGTTTCTAAAAATAATGTGTAAATATATAGTTAAGTAAACAAAGGCAAGCAACACCAGGGGTGAAACTGCAATCAGCGAAGAAGAAGTAAGCAGCCGTGAAGAAAAAATCCCAGTATTTGCATACTGTAGAGCAGCTCAAAATATGCGTCTGTGACGAGCTGCTGCATATTCATTCATTTATCATAAGAAATCTGCTTTTGCATGACAAAGAAAAGCAGATTTGCTTTGTTTTTCCCTTCCTTCTTTTTACCTCGAATGTTTTCAGGGCGCAGTAAGTTACTTTTCCACGTTCTACAGCAGAACAAGCAGAAATGGACGAGAATCACTGACTTCGCACTGTTTTTGTGTTTTCACCTGGAAGGATTAAAGAGATATTTATCTGTCACTCAAATACATTAAATTCCTCAGTCATTTAACCTCCTGTGACCACATATGTGGACGTCACATTTTGGGTTGTCTGGACCAAAATACTAAATTTTGCTCTACAAGGGCCTGATATCCACTTACAGGGACATTATACTGTTACTGTTCTGTCGAAATTTAAATGAATGTCCTCATATGTGGATCTCAAAATCAGGTAAAAAAAATAAAAATCAGGTAATATTTTTGTTTTTACATTCATCAGGTCCCAATCAGCCCAAAAAGCAAAGAGAAATTAAAAATACATGTCGTGAAAGAGTTCAGGTCTTAGGAGGTTAAAATTCTGGACACTTCTTATTTGCTCCTTGACCCTCTTTGAAGCAGGAGTGGGTTTTTGTCCAGTGCCATTGCTATGATGCACTTGAACAAACGATGTTTGCTTAAAAAAGGAGATAAATAAATCTGCACTGGTGTTTATTGTTGTTGTTATCAAAGACAAATTAATTTTGAAGCTTTAACATGTCCCAGAGAAGGATGATCACAAGTGTCCTGGTCCTTATTTTTCAAGCCAAATCTGTGCAAGAAAAACTGTCAGAAGCCATACTGAAGGAGTCCCAGTGCAGCTCCGAGCCTGAGCTGAGTGACACCAGCACTGAGGAGGAGGAGGAGTCCACACATAAAGGCCCTCAACAGGACTACAAAGGTATCAGATCTTTATTAGAATTAATTCATAAACTGCACAAAGACTGTTCTTTATTTTGAAAGTCCATTTTGTATTTTGCAGATGCAGCTCCAGTCAAGCTTGTCACGCCTACAGAACAACAGCAGACCATTGCAGAAGAGGCAGAATGTGAAGAAAGCGATGCTGGTGACGTGGTGGTGGCACAGACACAGGAAGATTTACCCGAAACCAAAGAACAGAGTGGAGATGATGAGCAGGAGCCTCAGGAGAACAGCAACAGTACTGAAGATGAGAAGGTTGAGCAAGATGACAAGGCTGCAGAAGAGGAGGATAAATCAGAGGAAACGGGTGAAGCTTTGCATCCTTCGAAAGAAGAAAATGTGACACAAGATGACAAGACAACTGAGCATCTTGAAGAAACCCCAGCTGAAACTGCTGATACTGAGGCTGCAGAGGAAGGAAAGGAGAAAACCGCTGAGGAGACTGACGTTCAGCATGACGAGACCGGGCAAGGGGCAAAAAGCAGTGAGGAGGATGAGTCATCAGAGCCGGATAAAAAGACTGATGAGACAGCAGCGCCTGATAATGCAGAGGCAGTGACAGCCAGAGAAACAATAGAGATAAAAGCAGAGTCCTCAAAGGAGCAAGAGGCCCTCAGCTATGAAGAGGCACCTGTAAGTGACGCAGAAAAGGAGGAGCAGGCAGACAGCGAGGACAGAGCTGCAGGGTCAGAAACCGAAGTCAATGCAGAGAACTCGAGCAGCTCGCCAAGTGGGAGTGGAGAAACCACAGTTGAAAAAATAGGAGATAGAGGTGAGGAAAATGCAATAGAAGAAAGCAGTAAAGATGACATTAAAGAAGAACAAGTATTAGAGGATGAGAGTCACGAACAGTGCGAGCTGCCAGAGGAGAGGAGGACTGGAGCACCTGAGGAAACAGGTGAAAAGGAAGACAAAGAGAAAACTGAGGAGGGTGGAAAAGAAGAGGAGGAGAAACAAACTCATGTAACCTCTGATAAAGGAGAAGATGAAAATACTGGGAAAAGAGATGATGATGATGAAAAGGTTAAAAATGAGGAAGAGGGTAATGAGGAAAGTAAGGAAGATGAAGGGACAGACAAGCAGGAAAACACAGCAGAAAGTTCTGAAAATGGCTTTAAAACAAAGGAAGACGAAGAAGAAGCTGTGAAATCTTTGAGCGAGGAGGATAAAGTCGCCGATGACGAGAAAGTTGAAGAAAAGACAGAAAATGATGAGAACAGTGAGTGTGTTGAGAACAAACTGGAAGAATCTGAAGTAGGTGATAAAAGTGAGGGTGACAATGACAATGAGAGTAAACCAGCTGTTCAAGAAAATGATGATGAGGCAGAAAAATCAGAAAATCTAAACAAAGCTGAGAAAAGTGAAGACAAAGAGAAACATGATGAAGAGGATGACAAGGAAAAGGACATAAGTGAAGCACCTGTAGAAGAAGGAGAAGAAATATCTGAGACCACAGAAGAAGCTGAGAAAAGTGCAGACGTTGGTGCAAATGAAGCAGCAGATGGGACTAAATCAGCTGATGAGACGCCAGAGGCTGAGAGTGTTGAGCAAGATGCTGGAAAAACCAGCAACACGAGTGAAAAAGAAGAAATTAATGCTGAAAACGGGGAGATCTCTACTGAAGCCGAGAGCAATAATCATGAAGACGACGGAGAGTCTCAATTAAAAGACAAAAATGACTTGAAAGCCAAAGAAGAGGGTGATGAAGAAAGCAAAGCAGACGGGCCTGCTGACGACGAGAGCGCAGACATTAAAGAAGTCGCAGTGGAGTCTGAAGAAGGTGCTAAAAAACACGATGCTGACGAGGTTGATCAGGCTCCCGGGGCTGATGAGGTAGAACGTGATGCTGAGGGTGACAGCGTGGAAAAAAATGATGAATCAACTCCAAGCAACTCACAGCCTGAGACAGCAGGTACAGAAATGAAAGCGGAGCCTAAATTAGGTGACAGAAAAGACGGCGAGGAAGCAGAACAAGATCAAAATGGCAACAAATCTGACTGTGATAACGAAAACAAAGAGCCAGACTTGGTAAAAAAGGAGAGCAGCGCTGAGGAAAACGTGGATGAGGTCGCAGCTGTTTCTTCAGGGAATCAGGAACAATCACCGGTTGCTGTTGACTTAGATGTTCTGGCTTCCAAATTAGATGAAGAAAGCAAAGATACAAAGTCTGACATATGCCCACAGACTGACGAAAATGCAGTTGGTGGTGATCTCTCTGCTGCCGACGGAGAAAATGGAGTAGACGCAGAAGATGCGAGTAAGGCCTCGGAGGAAGGAGCAAGTGTGCTGCTCAAACCTCAAAACAATGAGGCTGATTATACAGAAGAGACTGTCGCAGCTGGTAGAGAAAGTCCAGAGGCCTTGGCAGCAGAAGACAGCACAGATCTAGTCAGTAACTGGGTCAACAAGCACCAGTCATCAAAGTTTTTCGAGACATTTGTTGAACCACTGGAGGATATGAGGGAGGAGATAACTGACACTCCAGCGTCCAGCTCAAATAAAGAAGAGACAAAATCTACTGAGCTGCCAGGATCAGACAGTCCACTCAAGATGGTGAGGGTGTCTGAAGATGAGGTGAAAGCCTACAGGGACGCTGAAGATGAACTGCAAGTGGAGGAGAAGGCTGAAGTGAAAGACTTAATACTAAAACCTCAAACTGAACAAAGTGAGGAGGAGTCTGCAGCCTTGCAGAAGATGAGGTCAGAAGAGCACAAAGGAAGCATGGGATCTCTTCAAGAGTGTAACGGTCAAGAAAGTGCAGAGAAAGGAATTAATGAGGAAAACGCTTTTTCCAAAACTGAAGTGGAAAGCACTTCAGGTAGTCTTCATTCAGCCACTGAAAAACCTGCGAGTGTTTCTAAGAGCCAACCTGATGAGAAAACTGTCGATAACAACTTCAATGTAACAGAGCCGCAGACTGAAGAAGGTAATCAGTCCACGAGCCCACTTGGAACCGAAGATGTCAATGAAACGTGGGGAAAAGCAGACGAGCAAAGTCGAGAAGTTACAGAAACAACTGATTTTACAACATCGAAGTCTGACGATGGAAGCCCGGAGGACTCGCGCAACGAGGAGATCGAAGGCAAAGCGTCAGACAGGAGCGTCAGCAGAGACAGAAAAGACCTGCAGCTGATCGAAGACATCAAACACACGCTCAGTAAAGACCGGCTGAGCGCCTTTTCAGTGGATGACACGTTGTTTGCTCACAGTTCATATCCTTTACTGACTGCTGCGAGTGCTGAGAGCGGGCATTAGAGCCGCTCCGGTCAGAGTGACAATGAGGGAAAGTGAAGCTTTACTACTTTTTTAGTTTTTAATTTTACAAAGACGCCTATGAAGTCAAGTTGTACAAATGAAAAGTCTGCAGATTCTCGATGCACAGACAATCATGTGGCTTCAGACAAAATGTGACATGCGCGTCAGTTTTTCACAAAAGCCCTCCGCTGTCTCGTGCTTTCTGCTTTTAAATTACAGCAGCCTCGTAAACCGTCATCATCTTTCACCATCAAGAATCCACATAATGAGTTTTGACTGCTGCATGAAATGTTTACAATAGATCATCTCTTCCTTTTGTTGGTAACAAAGAGCTCTTGGTTGATATGAGGTATCGTGTACAGATGCTATCAGCTATCACCTGAAAACAGATACTCGCGCACTCACACTCACACATGGTTGAATAATTCATAGATGTTGGACTCCCACGTCTTTAGCTTGCCCCAGGTACTCTTTACATTTCCATTGACTGGGTACAAGTGGTGCAGCTTTAGCAGAGATCTGTAATCGAACACTGTTAATGGCATCATCAGTCAGTCAGCACACTCACATAATTACGGGATCGCAGTAGCTAAGAGAATATACAGTAGAACAACAAGAACGCAAAGCTCAATCTTCATCATTAGGCTGATGATAATTAGTTTGGTGGTGACTAGGAAATGTCAAATGTAAGCACAGTTGTTGTTTGTAATGCTGCTAACTCTACCTCTACTTCCACTGATATGTTTAACATGTATTTGCATTTCCCTTTTGTCTTTTTTTACGGCTAGCTTGGGTTTGTGAGGCTTAATCGTTTCATTTGATATCTGTCAGTAACCGAAAGTTTCTGTGATTTTCCAGCTAAAAATAAAAACAATCAGACAAAAATAAAATACAAAGTTTTCTGTATTTTTTTTTTGACAAAAAATGTCTTTACATTTAAATTTATCATCAAGAACAAGAATAAAGAGAAAACTTTGTTCTACATGTGCATTTTTAAAAAACAGTGTAACTAAGTTTCAGTTCACAAACAGATCATGCATAGACCTTATGTTATAACCAAATAACAGGTAACCTCAATTATCATCATATGCAGTTTCTACAGATTTATTTATTACATCAAAAATGTCACAAAATACACAACTATCTGTATTAATAAGATGATAATAACAGAGTCTGGAGCTCGGGGAGGGTTCAGTTACTTTCCTCAAAGCTGCCGCTGCTGCTGAGGGAGGAACAGAATCTCATGGTGCTCATGGGATCAGACACATACCCTGAGGATGAGAACAACAAGGATTTTTTTTTTAATGTGGTGGTTAAGAAGGACAAATAACAGTTCAAGGGCTGATGGGCCAATTCATTAGATACACCTTGCTAGAATTCTTCTTTTTTGCCATCAAAACTGTCTTAAGTCTTCAGGTCATAGATTCAACAAGCTGACTCAAGGAAACAGTTTCATACTTGTCTACCAACAATGTGACTCTCTCTGTTGTTATAGGCTCTTTGCTGCAATGGTAAATGGCCTGTATACACTACATTCAGTCATCCACACATTCACACACTGGTGATGGCAGCTACATTGTAGCCACAGCTGACAGAGGCGAGGCTGCCGGACACTGGGGTGAAGTGTCTCGCCCAAGGACACAACAACCGAGACTGTCGGAGTCGGGGCTCGAACCGGCAACCTTCCGATTACAAGACGAACTGCCAACTCTTGAGCAACGATCGATAAGCGGTTATCTGTGTTCCTGTTGCCTTCCTGTCACGCCATTCTCCTCTGACGCCTGGCACCAACACAGCATTTTACCCATATAACTGCCTCTCACTGGGTATTTTCTGTTTTTTCCAGGTCATTCTCTATAAACCCTTGAGATGGTTGTGTGAGAAAATCCCAGTAAATCGGCAGCTTTGAAAATAATTAGGCAGTCTGGCACCAACAAACCATGCCACATTCAAAATCACTTCAGTCACCTTTCTTCATCAATCTAATGGTCGGTTTGAATTTTAGCAGGTCCGCTTTAACATGTGTACATGCCTAAATGTATTTGCTTGGTTGATTAGAGGTTTGCATTGCATCAGCAGGTGCACCTAATGCAGTGGCCAGTGACTGTATACCAAACCAGCCGCTTTAAAAACGGGTTAAAAATTGGGCCACATTCAAGTTCAGAATGATGACAAGCACTAACACAAAAGTTTTGAAATGCAAGAGATCTACTTAAAAAGTAATTTGTGTAATCATACAGTGTTACTGACTCTGTTTTATGCACACAAACCATTTCGATCGATGGGAGAGAACTGCATGCTCCTTCTTAGTTCCTCCAGTGAAAGCCCCCCAGATGCTCTGCGCTGCTCACTGAAATTAAAAAGAACATCCTCAGCATTTGTTCATTAATCTACTGGAAAACAATACTTTGGAATATATACTGCTGCATTTACAGGGAGAAAGACAGATGAGACGAAGGCAGCTCCAAGCAAAGAAACTCAATATGTAATGTCAGACTCAATAGCTGCCTACTTTCACTTTCTCTGCAGGTGTGCTGTATACAAAATTCATGACAGGTATAAATGTGCAACCCCAGCTCATAATAAGGAGACATAATAATAGGAAAAGGTTATTTAGGTTAAGGAATTTGACTTCATTGCTCCGATTTCTGAAGTTTTTTACAATATATTTACGATCTGTGAAACATGACACTAAATGTGGCTGAAAGTTGCAGAGGAGTTTTTTTTTTTGTAGGACAATATTTACAAAGAGGGCCTTGTCTAATTTCAGTACTCCATATTGACTGTTACCAGGCTCTCACTCTTCTCATGCACACACACAAACAAGCTCAAAGACAAGTGTCTAACAGAGGCCTTCCTTCACAGTCAGAATGACAGGACTGTTTTATTACATTTGCTTTCCTTTGCTTCCTGGTTGGTATCCGAGCAACTCTACTCCCCACTGAATGGAGTTGCTCAATTTGCCTGCTTGTTATCAGCATGACAGTTGTTGAAAGTGTTTACAGGATTTGCTTTTACATCACATGTTCTTGTCGAATAAGCCCAGACATGTTTTTATTGTATATACTCACATATACATTGTTGTATATTTTCATCTCAAAACTGGCCTTTTCTAAATATTGGTTTGGCTCGAGATCCACTTTCTTTATGGCCTTGGCAGGGATGTGCTCTCAAAGGAGCAATCAGAAACTTAGAAAGCTAGCAAACTAAAGAAAACGCGTCCATCTTAGCCAGAAAGAAATGTTAGAGAATTAAGATATTAACCCCAGTGGGCTTTGGCCAGCAGCAGAGGACCAAATGAGTGCGAGTGTGGTTACTGTGCAGTAAATTATTCCCACCTGTTTAAGGAGACGCTCGAGTTGTCTTACCTCTGGGTCCAGAAAGCATAGGCGCGAGTGTTGAGAGCATACTCGAGTTCAAAACGAGAGCGCAGGGCGGCCACGTGGCTCCGGCCGGGTCCTCCTCGCCCGAGCAGACAGTCAGACGAGGAGGAGGGAGAGAGGGAGCCGCTACTGTTACTGGAAGCTGGAGACATCAGCTGTGATACATAATAGAGAAAATGTAATTATTACAACATGCATGTCATGCACAGCAGAAGGCATTTAATTATATGTGGCAGATTATGTACCTCAACATTGCACAGGCATTCCTCCAGGCTGGAAACCACTTCAGAGAATTCAGGCCTGTCCTAAAATTTCAAAAGAAAAAAGAAACTATATTTATTTTAGCATTTTTATAAACACTCAGACATGCATCAGGCCTATCCCCAAAAAGATGCACAGGTGTATTCTCTCCAAAACTGGCGTGTATATTCTGCTTATTTTAGTCCACCCACACACGAGGCAAAGGTGACCTGTGCTTTTAAAAGCAGCCCTCAGATCTCGCGCCTCACTGTAAGAGAACAAACACTGCCACCCTGCAAAGCTGTTCAATTATACATCACATCCAGAGAGAGCGTCTGTCTGCATGTCAATGACTGAAGCCAAGACCAAAACAAGTGTAGGATAACATTTAGGAAACACTTAAAGATATATAAAAATGGAATACACGTTTTTAAAAACCTTTTCCCTACATTATGTTTTCAAAAGGTTTTACAGCAACTTATTATTAACTTTAGGAAATTTAAAAAAAATGTACATATGTATGTTTCAAAAGCAACAGTTTGCACTTTCAACAAGTTTAAATTACACAGATGTCACGGCCGTTCATCTGGAAATCTACAGTACAGCATGTCCCAGTGTGAAAACCACGTGAGAATCAGTGTACTGCACAGGTGAGGCACCAGGAGAGAAGCCTGCATGTAAGATCCTGTGGCAGACTGCTCTTGTTAAATAAATGCTTTCATGACGTTGAAGTGGGACAAGCAGATCACAAAAGTAAACAGATAACTAGTTAGCAAACAGGAAGTCGATGTACCACTGAGAGGAAAATGTGCCCGCATGATCAGCCGTGTGATAACATTAAGGGGAAGAAAAGAAGAGGAATCCCAGCTAGTTATAAACACCACAGCACAGAGGGAGGATCATCAGTGTCCTGAGTACTCCTAGATGTGAACAGCGATGCAATAATCTGTCATCTGGGGATCAGCTTCTCTCATTCATTACTGCTGCTTGTGCACTGAAGGAGCAGCTGACTCAGCATCCTGTGACTCTCACAGCCTTATTATGTTTATATAGTAATGGCTGATATAATATGGATGACATCATAGTATTTTAGATTTTAATACAATAAAGCTCTTAATAGTTGAGTATATCCTGACGAGCTGTAATTTAAGAACAAGTTGCGGGGCGATCGTGGCTCAAGAGTTGGGTGTTCGTCTTGTAATCGGAAGGTCGCCGGTTCGAGCCCCGCTCGGACAGTCTCGGTCGTTGTGTCCTTGGGCAAGGCACTTCACCTACCGCCTACTGGTGATGGCCAGAGGGGCCGATGGCGTGATATGGCAGCCTCGCTTCTGTCAGTCTGCCCCAGGGCAGCTGTGGCTACAACCGTAGCTTGCCTCCACCAGTGTGTGAATGTGAGAGTGAATGAATAGTGGCATTGTAAAGCGCTTTGAGGGGTCCCGAAAAGCGCTATATAAATGCAATCCATTATTATTATTATCCGAGTAATTACTTCTCAGCACAATCAGGCCGTTTACCTCTGGGCAGGAGTTCCAGCCCCTCATCAGAAGTGCAGAGATGGGTTTGGGAATGGAGTAACCAATAGGAGGCCGGATGTGATGATAGGCCATGTCTGCTGCTGCAGCAGCTAAGGACAAAACAAATATCTTAAATTCAGCTGTAAAAAGTGTTATCTGAACTGCTTTTGTGATCTATTTTACTTTTGTGGTGGTTAGTATTTGTTTGTAGTGCAAGTAGAATGTATGCATGCTTTGTTTACTGCTAATTATCAGACATTTCTGCACTGAGGTGATGAGCTAGCTCATGTCTTTGCATTTACTGAATGTTTTCTTGAAAAGTCTGAAAACTCTAAAATACCACGTGGACAGTCTTTTGGCTAATGTATGGATCGGGCACTAATTTTGCAATACGAGATGTCACTGATTTAACTTCTGTTTGAACTCATTTGATGAAAAATGACCAGGCTTCAGGTGAGCAAAGGGAATTTCTCCTGTCAGCAGCTCCCACAGACAGAGGGCGTAGCTGAACATGTCCGCCTTCACTGAGTAGCGAGTGCACTGGGTGAACACCTCAGGAGCCATCCAGCGCAGGTTCTGCCAAAACACATGTGGAGATAAAGGTTGTTGAAAGCTCAAGAGGTGAGGACGGACGTGTATTTTTAAAATTTGGTCTACTTTAATGGCAGCACACACGTATGCAAACAAAATGAAGCCCAATTAAAACCATAAACG